TTCGTAACAAAATTGTATACATTTAAAGAAGTCGAGGATGTATACAATTTTGTTACGAAACGCGAGGAATCAAACCCTACACCCACCCGCATCTCCTCCTTAATCGGCCGTTCTTGGCCTCCTCCGACGGCGGCATGGCCGAATTCGCGGCCGTCGCCGGCCGCTCGCCCTTCACAGGTGCTTTTCCCCCTGTTTTGTTGTTGTGGCCGAGCGATTTTCTCTCCCGGTCGCAAGCGAGGGTGGAGGGAGGTGGCTTCTGGTTGTTGTCTGAGGCCATCGGCCTGTGTCGATGCCGTAAGGCGTGGCCGGGAGTCCGTCGTCATCTTCTCTCTTCCTTGGTTGGTGACTTGCTCTCCGTTGGTGCGGTTGGGGGTTGGTGGCGTAGATGTGGTTTGATTGGGTCTGGTTGGTTGGGCTCGATTGAGCCGATTGGGCGAATTGAGGTTATGACGACGGTCTGGGCCCTGGTGGTTCGGGGCTGTGGTCTGCATCTTAGGGTGGAGGCTTGGGGGTTGTGGTTTATGGTGTGGTTTGCGTTTCAGGAGGGAGGGAGATGGTAGGGCAGTGACAACGGTTCAGTGGGGCTGAGTTGCTTGGTGTTCGGTCTGGGGCTTCAGCAGCCGCTGCGTGCTGTGCGTGGTGACTGCCGGGGTTGGGGTGCGGGTATGGAGCGACTATCTCTTGCTTTCTCTGTGTTGGAAAGTTAGAGATCCGGGTCTTCTGGGCTTAGCTAGTGGTGTTAGCTGGGTCTGGGTTATTCCGGTTGGGGTTGCTGTACTCGTCTCTCTCGGTCGGTGGGTTCTGGCTCTTTGGTTAGGTTCGGGGGCGGAGACCTGACTCTTGTATAGGCCTTATGCAGTTTCGGGGGTTGGGTTTTGGCCAGGGACCTGATTGGGAGTCGGATGTCGCTGCTTCTTCAGTTCGCCAATCTTCGGGGGAGGGTCGTTTTTAGCTGTAGTTTTGTTTTTGTTTGTGTTGTTGCTTTCCTTTACGTCTGGTTTGAGTCAGTGTTTGGGTCTGTGTTCGTATTTTTTGGTCTTGTTTTTTAGGTTTGGGCCGTTGGCCCCGGTTCTGATTCCCTCTTGGGGGGCGTATCTATTCTCCTGTGGGGAGCGATCTTAGTTGGTGTTTTGTTGGTTTTTAGTTTTGTGTTTTGTGTTTTTTCTAGTGTGGCTAGCGAGGTTCTAGGCGGTCTATTGGATCCGTTCTCTCAGTTTTTAGTTCCGGGTTGTATTATTCAGCCTTGGGCTGCTTTATTGCACTGTTGTGCATTTTGATATATAATATTTCTATCGTTTCGGCCAAAAAAAAAAAAGAAGTCGAGGAAAATAAGAGTAAATAGGGGCAAAAACGAAAAAATAATCAACGTCTCCGGAAATGCTTGTTTTCGAACAAGGCACCATTATTTGATGTGAATAACATATATTTCTTGCACCATCGCGTTTCGTAACAAAATTGTATACATTTAAAGAAGTCGATGAAAATAAGAG